TTTTCAATATTGACTAGGGATTTGAAATGTTTGGGAAGAAAAAAACATTTTAATGCTTCCTCAACCTCTTTTTTGGGCTTGCTTTGTTTCTTGCTTTTGTTGCTCCTTACATAGTAAGAGGAAACTACTGTTATGATGATTGTAAAGGCAGATAGTTTCTCACCAGTTTGCTTTCAGATGATAGATTTCATGCTGAGTGATCCTGTGCATTCACAAATTCAATCATAAGCTGCATTTCTGTGTCTCCAATAGTGCTACCAAGATGTGTGAATGGCAAAACTAATGCACACAAATGTTACTCAGAGATGTTGTTAGAGTGGTAATTGTTGCCTTCAGAGTCAGGATCCATATTTACTCCAAATTTCTATTATGATGCTCACCTTGGTGTAGGGGTAGGGATTTTGTGCCATCTAGGGCTGGGCCAAGACATGTTTGCTGCCTGAGGCAAAAGCCAGGCCAGCCCGTCTCCATTCTTTCTATAGCAAACAACCCAATGGAGTTGGGTTCAAGAACAGCAATGGCCCAACACCCATTGCTGTATCTGGGGGTTGAAAGGTTAGCTGAAGAGCCCTGCAACAAGTTAGCTTATGGGACTCAGGTGGAATGGTAGGTGGGAGCCTACTACTGCCCCCATTAATAAGTATGTAAAGCAATTATCTCATTCTGCCTAAGGGTAAGGTCAGTCGTGGCTGCAACCCATCAGCTAAACACCAAGATGTTAGATTACCAAAGAGAAAACTGACTCTAAATTCCGGCACCTTTCCGAATCTGGCTTCTGGAGTTATCCTTGAATGAAAATGTGCATGATTCACCTCCTCCATATGTAAAACCGCTAGCCAAAGCCAGCCATACAATAGACTCTCATAACCCAAGATCGTTTCCTCTCTTGCCTTTCATATCATTGAACTGAAACCATCACTCCTGTCAAAAAGTCAGGCCTGCAGGATGAAAGGCCAGTGCATTAAGACAGCACGTAATTGTCAGCCTCCGAGTTTCTGACATTAATCGTTTCACTCAAAGGAAGACAGTGGAGTGATTTTCAACCCCCTTTATACACATTTCTTTAAAATGCATTGCTAACACGTTGCAGTTAGCCTGGATTAAGGCAAAATGAATGAAATACCACTAATAATAACTCATGGTTTGCTAATTAAAAGTAATATGTTTTCCCAATTTTTGGCAATTTGATAACATAAAACACTTAGTTGGGGGGCCACACGGGGAAACAAGCTAAGATGGATAAAAAATGCTTTGTGTTCACCCAAGCAAGACTATGTTAATGCACATTATCCCATTAATGCACATCAACATCGGGAATAAGCGTACCAATGCAAGCAAGAAGCATACACTTATCATCATTTGATAACATGTTTAATGACAGATTGACGGTTGATTTGCAAATGTGAACTGGCATCAATGTTGCTAACTTCAGCTTCTGCCGCCTCCTCTGCTATGCCAGCATATTTATGTGCATAATTTGATTTTGCAGCCGCACTGTTAGTACATTTTTAATATTAACTATGCAAGAACAGACAGCCGAACTTAAGTTGCACTGATGGTTTGAGTTCATTAGATTGAAAAAGATGGGCCAGCAATGACAAAGATGGAGATGGCAGGGAAACATCAAAGAGGCAACACTTAAATGCACTCTGTTGCGAACAAACTGAATGAACACATTTCACATTGTTGGCTGGAACTGGAGCCCTTACAAACCAGGATAGATTTTCTTTATGGGTGTTTCATGTGTGTGTGTGTGTGTGTTTGTGTTTGTACGTAGATGTACACACACACACACACACACACACGTGTATGCGTGTGTATGTGTGCTGCCCTTGACACGCTGCCAGCATGCCAAAATGTACAAACCTTTGTTACACAACTGTAAGCTATTTGCTCACCTGGAGGACTTAAAGAGGGCTACATATCAAAGCATGGACCCCCGCAAAAAAAAAACCCTAGAGGGGGGGTTCTTTTCCCACCTATTTCCATTATCTATGATTTAGTGATGGACCGATTTCTGTATTTTGACCTAGTGTCAATTTTACACATATGTTTTTTCATAAGTATTTTCCATTTCTTCGCAAATACGATTTCTTTTTTAAGTACGAATGAAAATTCACATATAAATACATATTAAAATATGCATCTGCTGAACATATGTCCTTAGAAAGTGCTAATTTAAAATGCATTTTATCTAAAAAGTAACCATTTCTGAATGTATTGGCTCCTAAAACATCTCCTGCTCAACGTGAACCTAGAAATGGTATCCCAGCATTTGGAAAAAAAAGTGAAATCCAAAGGATAATTATGTTCCAATGTGCACCACATGGATCAGATGGAGCTACATAAGAATTTGCAAAGAGTGATGCTGTATTTAGGTGCTGGAAAGCAAGGACAACGTAAACGTGTGATGAGGTGGACCATGGTGGCAAACACTTGCCATTCCCATCTCCCTACACATGTGCAAGGTGACTCCTCTGTATATTAATCACATGGGTAAGGACACTTTCTGTGCATAAAGAGAGGCCCCTGTCTTTCCACATACTACAGCTGCTGCTCCCCATGTGTGGCTGGCAGTAGAAAAAGGGAAGAGCTAGTGCAACCCCCCTCATGGGATTTCCTTTACTCACCCTTTAGAAGGCTTGCACAGGCTTTCAATCCCTTAAGCATTACATTTCACATATACAGGCACACACTCTCATTCACTGATTTAGGCTGCATGAGAAATACTCCCATTGCTTTCATTTGCTCTGATTGTACAGAGATGTCACATTACCCTGCATTTTTTCATACCCTCAGATCTTCCATACCAGACAGTGCACCAACCATATTTTTACCACATTTATTCAGGCTGTAGTTTTATACACAGTTACCGGTGAGTAGCTCCACTGAACTCAATGAGAATTGTTTCTGAATAAATATGCAGAGGGCTGCACCTTCAATGTGAGAAGACATGTTCTTTCTTGCCCCCTATGTCTTCATGGAATGGAAACCTATTCCGCCTTGTCTGTAGTGTATTTTTCCCTCTGGTGAAGCTGTCTTCTGTTTAGTTCTAAACCACTGGATGGAGTCATTTTATTTGAACTACACAGTGTTTCTATACCTACACCCCTTGGGCTAAGCCACCTCGAACTTAACAGAGGAAGGCAGGTACAGTGGTGCCTCGCTAGACAGTTACCTTGCATGACAGTTTTTTAGCTAGACATTGGCTTTTTGCGATCGCTATAGCGATTCGCAAAACAGTGATTCCTATGGGGGAATTTTTCTGGACAATGTTTGGTCCCTGCTTCACAAACCGATTTTCGCCAGACGACAATTTTGACAGCTCCCTCCGCGCTTGCAAACAGGTGTTTTCGGGACCTAAGCTTCGCAAGACAGCAATTTAAACAGCTGATCGGCGGTTCGCAAAGCGCCTTTCCTATGGCTGATCTTCGCTAGACAATGATGATTCTTCCCCATTGGAACACATTAAACAGGATTCAATGCATTCCAATGGTGAAATGCTTTTCGCTAGACAATGATTTCGCTAAACAGTGATTTCAGTGGAATGGATTATCATCGTCTAGCGAGGCACCACTGTACCTTTTGAAGCAGACAGTCAGGGATGGCTCTGCCATTAACCTGAATGAGACACCTCCCTCAGCAGTGAGGCATTGTGAGAGGCAAACTTATGGTTTTTGCACCCTGCCCTCCACTGCTCTGGAGACCTGTTGTTGTTGCTCTAGGTATCTTTTCACAGCACCCTGCTTGAAGAAAAGGAAGAGGAAGAAGAGGATGTTCACTTCTGTCAAAGGCAGCCTTATCTTCTGCAAAATACTTGGCTTCGACTAAAATCCTTAGTCACGTTCTATGGAAACAACGACAAGAAAATTCCTCTGCTATGGCAAAGGCAACCAACTATTTTTGACAGGCATTCCTTGGGGCCCATTTCTGAGGGGCGTCAGAAATTGATATTTGTCAGAAAAGAGGCACCCCTGGCAGTGGCTGGCACATTCTCCTCCTTCTTTTAGGAGTACTATTCTAGCACATCGTAGCTATCATCACTGCTGCCACCACTAGTGCAGTTGTATCCTTGTCATTCCTGGGTGCACGGTGTGGGTCCTGCAGCTGGACTGCAAGAAATCCGTCATCTCCAGTAGGGCAAGGGGAGAGTTTCACTGCTATCTTGTCTTCTTTCTTTCTTGAAGGAAGACCTTTTCTTTCAGGAGAATAGAGTCTTTAGTGCCAGGACAGCGGTGGCGCTTTTCTGCCCACTTCAGGCAGTGGACTGACAATTTTTATTTGTCAAAAATGTGTTTGATGTATAGGTGCCACATCTTTTTGTTGTTATTTATCTTGGCATGACACATTTCTAAATAAGCATGTTCAGTAGAAATATGGATCCTTTTTTCTACTGATTACCAGATTTTCCCAGTGGTGGTAGGTAATCTACTGGGGGCTACAGAGCAACCATGGATGGAGACACACAGCTTCTCTTTCTGCCACTCTTTCTTCTGTTTACGTTCTTCTCTTTCTCCTCTTCCCTATTGAGTATACTTTCAGAAGAGGGGTAGATAATTCAGTGTTTCCCAACTTTGGGCCACCATATGTTCCGGTACTACAACTTGCAGAAATCCTGGCCAGCACAGCTAGTGGTGAAGGCTTCTGGGAGTTTTAGTCCAAGAATGTGAGGGACCCAGGGTTGGAAAGCATTGAGACAGTTGTTGCCACAGTTCTGATTCTGAGCTGATTACCTGCAGAGAACCTTTGATATTAGGTCTAGGGCTGCATGAAAAAAAGCCTAGGACTAGAGATGGGATATTCGTATTCGTATCCCGATGGGCACCACAGGTACCTAGGGAAACCAGACCTTTCCCCCAGAACCAGCTGGTCCACTTATGCTCTCTGTGTGGCACGCACACCTGTCATTGTTTATGTCACACCAATTGCAGAAGTCGCCTGGCTAGCACTTTCCTGCCTCCCCGCACAGCCAAATGCTGAGCAGCTGAGTGGGGAGACTCATCATTTCACCTCCTCTCAGGAGTGGTCGGCCGGGCAGAAAGGCACGGAAGTGCCAGCCAGGCTACTTCTGCAATTGGCACAACACGAATGATGACAGTTTCACATGGTGAGCATTAAGTGGCCCTGCCAACTCTGGGGAAAGGGTCAGTTTCCCCAGGCACCTATGGTGCTGATATTCGTACAGTATTCGTATCCCTCAGGATACGAATACGAATATCCCATCCCTACGTAGGACCCGTGTCTGATGCATAGGATTGTACTTTAGTTGTATGAATTGACTGAGGGTGAAACTAGATGCTGAAGGGAATGTGTATTCTGTATTATTACCCTGTTTTCCCTCTTGCAATAGAATCTGATCGGAGGCACATGCCTCAATAATGAGACTTGAAACTAAGTTCACATTATCTTGCAATGTTCAACCACAAAACAAAGCACACTAAATGCAACATATGAAGATGAGGAAACCATGCACTATAACTAGCAGTTGGAAGAGAATCCCTTCCAAAAAAGTTCTACAACATAGTATATTTGATCCTTACATTCTTGTAATAAATTTATTCAGTGCCATTGGCTGAAATTCTGCTGTGCTCTTATGCAAAATGTGTACCATTTAAAGGAGAATTGCCTCAAAAAAAAATCTCTGTAGACATTATCTGTTACATAATCAGTTGTGTAGCTCACTGTTCGACAGATAATGCTTACAGAGTCTACTTGAGGCCATTCTCTTCCAAAAGTTACGCTTCTTTTGTAGCAGCTCAACAGGATTTCAGCTTTTATGATGAACTAAAAATCTTATTTAGTTCTAAGTATGACTAAGTTTGAATCTAACCCACTATGTTGCTGCTCTTTTTAACTGTTTACTGTTGTGATAGGTTATGACTAGATATGGGGGTATTCATATACGAATATCTTCGCACAGCTGGACTTTATGAGGGTACAGCCCTGTCACTCTACGTCTTGCTGTGGTGCTGATCCTGCTTGTCCTTCCAATTGCGCCCAGAGCACTGCTCTCATGCTCCCTCCCTCTGCCTGGAGTGGCCAGCTGAGTGGGAACAGAGAGGCACTCCAGTTGCGACTGGAAGGACGAATGGGACCGGCGCCACAGCAGGACACGTGAGTGGATGGTCCAGCCCTGGGGACCGGACCCTCATTAAGTCCAGCTGCATGGGGATATTTGTATTCATATACAAATACGAATACCTCCATCTCTAGTTATGACCACTTGGGCCCAATCTTTTGGAAAGGTAACAAAAAATGACCAAACTATACCATGGATTTCACAAACCCTACAAATAGAGAACCACCTTGCCTCAATTGAACCTGAATGAGTCTCATTCTCTAAAGCGGTTCAGCTGCAAACACAGCAGAATTTAGTGGCACTTAGCTTCTTGTGACAAAATGTCTGCCTCTACTTGAACACTTCTGTGTGATTCCTTGGTTTACAGAAAGGCAGCTTGTGATGATGAATTGTTGGAGGGAATACTTCATTCTGGGCTGTTATTAATGTTGAGGTATTTGTTGCATCCTACATTAATTCTCCTCTGGCATGGCATGATAAATTTGAGCCAGGAGCTTCCATACAAAATGATTTCAAATGGTGTATAAACAGTTTGCCTTCCCCAGCTCTCTGGCAAACCAAAGCAAGCTTTGATGGTGGTGGTAGTGATGATGATGTGTGTGCATGTTAGTGGTATAGTGCTAAATTCTGAAGTGCAGGCACTCATCATAACAACCCTCATTGCCTTTGACTCCTGCCCCAGGAGAATCCAAAAATACAGGCAGTTGTTCTTTTTTAAAGATGAAAACAAAACATTCCAATGGTATTCTCCTTTAAAATTCAAAGATTTTTTTGGTGCATTTGCAGAAGCACTTGTTGTAGAAAAACCTTGTATTTTATACACCCTGCTAATGGGCTAGTACCTGTTGCTTAAATGCAGAGCGGAAGGGGAAATTATGTAAGCTCTCTTCGTCTACCTTTTTCATACCACTTTCATGCCCCGTTCATTGGTCACATGATCAGCCACTTGCCTGGTCATGAGATGGGAAGTGTGCTGGAGCAGAGAGAAGGCTTACAAGATTTCCCACATACATACAGAATATTTTGTATTAACTTGTGTTTTATGCAAAATGCACATCTTAAAAATGCAAAATACAAGGGTCTCTGTACAAAACCATGTGTTTGCTTTCCATATGTTATCAGTAATTTAAAAACTACCAGTCTTTTTAATAACATGTAGGAGAAAAAAAAAACACCAAACCAAACCAAACCAATAAAACCTCCCAGCAACTGTTTTTGATGCCATGTCTTGATTTTTGCTGAGGACAAGAAAAGGTGTGAGTATTTGTTGCATCCTTATCTATCAGGAGCATTTGCTATTTAAAGCTAGTGGGTCAAATTTTAAATTCACCTGAGAATACTTTAAATGTGCACCTGATAAGAATCCATTGCTATTGGGAAAATCTATTTTCCAACCACTGATCACATTGGCTGAAATCCTGTCTATAATTTGCTGCTGCTATCTCACCAGTTGTGATTTTTGTAATTAAAGACTTGTCTTAATTAAAGAATAAAAGAAGTCTTTAATTACATGCCCCTCCATCTGCTTCTGGAGGATGAAAGAAATACCACAGGAGACTTGAGGAATTGGAAATGTTTTATTTTTGAAAATAATTGCTGTGGTTTATGACATCATCAGCTTTACTCAGCATGACTTATAAAACAGGATTCCAGCTACCGTGAGAATTGCATCTTAAATTAAGAGAGAACATGGAAGCTGAAGGGAAATGTCTGACTGGCATCTATGCCAGCAAAGATTCTAAAACAAATCATCACACAGTCAGTCTGTGAATACTTAGACAAGAATACTTTGATTTCCAAGACCCAACAACAGTTTCTCAAAAGCAATCTTATCTCATATTTTTACATAGACACAAGCTTGGCAGAAGAGGGAAAGTTGTGGATATGCTGTATTTTTATTTTAGAAAGGCTTTAACAAGTTCCCTCGTGATATTCTAGTGGCCAAGCTGGTAAAAACTGGGCTAGACAATGCAACTGATGACTTTGTCGCTGGCTGCTGAGTCATATTGAAAGAGTGCTCACCAATGGCTCCTCATCATTCTGAAGAGAAGTGGCAAGTGCGGTGCCACAGGATTCTGTCTTGGGCCCAGTGTTGTTCAACATCTTTAGAACTGACTGAGTGTGGAGAGGATGCTAATCGTATTTGCAGATGACACAAAACTAGAAGGACTAGGTAATATTCCAAAAGACAGAATTCAAGATGGCAGATTGGAGAGTTTCAGCAGGGAAAAATATAAAGTTCTACATGTAGATAGCAGAAATACAATGCAAAAATATAAGATGGATGACAGCTGGCTTGGCGGTAGCATATGCTAAGGGTCCTAGTAGATCACAAGCTTAATATGAGCCAGCATTATGATGCAGAGGTCTAAAAAAAGCCAATGCAATACTTGGTTGCATCAACTGAAGTATAATGTACAGATCAAGACAAGTAATAGTACCACTGTGTTTGGCTCTCCTCTGCTTTTGTAACTGTTCTAGAAACAGAGAGCACTTTCTGCAGAAGACAACAGAACCAACAATTTCCATCTCCCAAAGTTAGGACCAAATTCCAAAGGCTCTACCAGCCTTTCACAAGGTTACAGTGAAACCCCAGTTGACTTCATCATCTGATTGGTGGTTTATGATAATTTTCTCTTTATATCTCCAGATTAGGAAACTTTGGTTAAGTTACTAAGGGTATGATGAGTTGCGATTTAGCGGTGAACAATAGTAACTTTACTTGATGAAGCCTAAGAGAGAATTGGGATCACTATGTCTTCTTATTCTTTAGTGCTGAAGAATATTCCATTATTCTTTAGCCTTGGACAAGCATTCTCTTGGAATATTTACTTAGCATGGGATAAGCATAGGCACCCCCTCTACTATTGATCTTATTGGCTTCCAAAGATGGAATGTGATAGTTTGAAGAGGAGAAGCTTCCAACCATACTGAGAACCTCTGAAGAGAGGAGACTCTAAGACTGTGGCTGTCTACATAAAGAAGTGTGATGGACAAGTAGTATGACTACTTCATTTTCCCCTCTTCGCAAATTGAGTGAACACCCCAATAAAACATCTGAATAGGGGTTATATCAGGAATGGAGAGCCTTTGGTCCTCCAAATATTTTGAAATGCAACTCCCATGTTCCCTTTTCATTGGCTATGCTGGCCAAAGTTTCTATGAGTTGAAGTCTAAAACATCTGGAATTGCAAAGGTGCCCCAAACCTTGCTTATATTATTTTTTAAATTATTATTTTAAGGAAAGGATTTTGGGATTCAAGCTACATGCAAGGACAACTCTATTCATATTTGAAGGAAAAGACTGTTCTTCCTTCATATGATCTATGATCTTCCCTCCTTTGCTTCACCCCTTCCCAAGGTTCAGGGATAGTTCAGCCATGCATGAAGAATCCAGCAGCCTTTCATGTATAATCGAACTTCCATGTAGTCCAGAGTGGCTACGTGAATGGATAGGTTAAGATCAATTGAGTTTAGGAACTGGCTGCTTATCACACTCTGTAGAATCCCACATTTGGGTCACAAGGCATTGTTGGACTTCAACCATGACCAGCATGATCAGTGCTCGGATACTTTGGGAGCTGGTCTAGCAACATTCAGGGACTCATGCTTCTAATACTTCTAAAGCATGGTTCTGGTGTGAATTGTTTTACAGTATACTTATACTTAAGTATCTTCTGCTTACTTATTACACTGTAAATATAGCTGTGCAATGGAAGCTCTGCAGAACAAACTTTTCAAAATTATCATCTCTTGTGATTTTAAAAAAATAATTGCAACCAATAAATATTTGGGTTGAGTCCATGATTTATGTATGCACCACTGCACTCTGTTTAACCTCAAATTACTCTGGCACTGACTTGCATTATGCTTATGGATTTCAAATTTATTGACATTTGACATATGTATGGGCTTTCACCTGACCAACAGGAGCCTCTGCCACCAAAGGGAATAGTCATGGAGAATTTCAACAGCCATGGGAACGGCAAAAAAAGTCATTAAATCATATTGGAAAAACAATGTGCTCATACATTGTAATCTTGCCAGTAAATCTTGTATTTGAGGTCTGGACCACCTAGTGGGGAATATTCAAAGGTTGAGGAGACAGAATTAGAAAAATGGATTAAAGTGAACAACCCAAAGTTGAGCATGGTGGGATCTTTACTGTTTGAATCCAAAACAAGACAGAATCACAGCGAGTCAACTTTATTGGAGTTAAATTCCCCACTGGATATACATGGCTTGATTTATAAGCGCTATGAGCAAGAGAATGTGCACAGTCCCAGATTATTCCACACAATTTGTATGTGGGAGGTGGAAGATACTAAAAACATATGGAACAATTTTTATTTTTGATTTTCACAGGCTGTGCTTTCACACAGTTTTTCACCATGTAATTAATTGTCTTGACTTTTTTTAAAAGCAGGAAATATAGATTTGCAAATCTTTCCCCCTAAACTTTTTCTTTTGGTGAGTTTTTTTGATAGTTTATTTTTGTTTCTCTTATTTAGATAATGGAACCATAGACCCTGCAAATATAAACAAGGTTTTTAAAGAATATTGCTCTTGGGTGAATGTCACCATTAAATAACTTTCATCCTAGCTAAAACAGAAATAATGCTTTCTGTACATTCACATCTGAGAAACAAAATCCTGCAGAACAAAATGTTCTCTTTTTTGCTATGTACACTAAAGTACAAGCGATTGGGTCTCTTTTGATGCTACAGACTTTGTTCCTGAGCAAAATCTCAAATACAGCACTATAGGAAAGACTATAGATTCTTCCATGCAAAGTACAATACAAAGTGAGCAAAGACATAACAGTGCAGCATCTTTTCTCAGTTTGAGCAAATATCCTAAAATGCAATCCAGTGCATGTCTACTCACTGTACAGCTTACTGAATTCAGTGGAACTTACTTCCTTGTAAGCGAGTATATATTTGCAGTCTGAATAAAATAGTGAAGCCAAAAATGGATTAGGTAAAAACCTTCAAGAAGCTTTATGGCTGAATAAAATATTTCAGAAGACCAAGACTGGGGATGTGAGGATTTGAGTGCACTGCAGAGCACAAAAGAGAGGAGAAAAGTATCAGCCAGTATTATTCCTTTATCTGGCAACTGAAGACACAAGAGAGATATTTTAACACTTTTTGGTTTTATAGTGATCCAGGAGATAAGGGAAACAAAATCAAATTCTGATTAGTAAATTTGAAGTATCTCAAGCAACCTATTTAATGTGAAAACTGGATATATCTGCAGGACTCTCAGCAAAGGAGAAAACATGGAGACTGTATGTGACTGATGTAAAGCCAGTTACACAAATGGATGAATCTGAATATAGCCATGGAAACAGAGTTGTGTACAGTAGCATAGGCAGACAGAAAGCCAAGTTACTAAAAGCCAAAGCAGCTATGGTATTAATTGTGAGTATTTAATTAATATGTAAAGATATTGATTTTTGTTTGGTTGTTTTTTGTTTATTTAGTTACCAGCAACCTGGAACCCTGAGTAATTTCGACTCAGAATTTTCCTTCCTATATTTTATTTTTATGGAAAAGTATGGATTTTTTACTTCTTGTTTTAGGAGATGAGCTTCCTCTTTTCTTACAGTATATAAGTGACCACCATACTAAAATGTATGCACCAGCTATCATGAGATAGGTTGTGATGAAAGATGACCAGTATTGTAAAATTTGTCCCACCACCATATTTTGTGGTATCATTTGATGAATTCTACATAAGCCTATTACATTGCCTTGTGCTTGGGAAAGGCAAATGGTGGAAGTCATTGTCATCTCTTCAACAGTGATCCAGTACAACAGTTATTTGATTGATATATTATGGATGAACACTTTTAAGTATTGTTGTTCAATTGTAGTTTATTATTGGATATTTGTAATTGCATTATATTACATATTTTTATAGTATAGCTTTTATTTATTTTGTTTTCATCCTAACATTGATTATGGACTTCTGGGTGTGTGCTTTTGTTCTGCACACGTAGCTTAGAGATGTTTCTTTTGGATGTGGGAAATAATACATAAATTTAATAAATGATGAATGAATCTATCACTCAGAAATCATAGACAACCCCTTCTACCTCAAGCGCTGTCATTAAAAAGTTCAAATTCATATTAATAATAAAGTGCATTTCTACAGAAGCTGCTCTATATTCTGAGGTGAACAGGTGAAGAAACAGTTGCTGCAGTTTCTTCTTAAGGAGTTAAGCAAATTCCCACAGATCTAGCATAAGACCTGAGGCACACATTAAGTCTAAAAAGAGTAGGGTAATTTCAATAGACTCCTTTTAAAAATGAATTAACTCTCCACTTTTTAATTTATCACTCATTGAATTACATTGATTATCTCTACAAAGACTGCAAGACCTCACTGAAGAGGACTTTTTTGAGCCTACGTAGAGATGTGAAACATTTTAAGAGTAAAACAGGGAAAGTTGTGGCTATTCTCTTGAAATTCTCTAAAGCCAGACAGCTCAATTTACATATGATATGAATATGCACATCATGCACTTTGAGGTTTATGCGAATTAAGCACATAAATTGTTGCTTTGGTTTCTACCTTGCTGTTTCTTCTGTGGTACCATCCATATTGTAAGCAGAATCTGAAATGGCCCATATAATGTAATGGGTGGGCTGCTGGATTATGAAAATGGAAACCAAAGTTCAAAGCTTTACTTGGTTACTAAATTTACTGAGCAATTTTGGACCAGTTGCTATGTCTCAGCTAAACATACCTTGCTGGGTTGTTGGGGCAATAAATGGAGAGAAGAGACACTGGAAAGAGGCCATGTTTATTGCTGATGCATCTATGGAATAAATAAAAATGGTTGGATGCACTAATGAGGTCTCTCTTGGTAATCTAATTGGACCATTATAATTTTGGGGGAGATGGGTTTGTTTATTGATAGGGGAAAAAACGATAAAGCCATGAAAATAACTCAGGGGGCTCCCACAAGGAGAATGCCAGGGCAATTGGGGGTAAACAGATGGAATCAGCAGAAAAAAAATGCATAATATCCGTTAGGAATTCAAATGTAATATTTTATTACAACTTGAAAATATTCCGTTTAACTTGCTTTGTCCTATCTGACATCAAGTCTCTTTCACTGAGGCAACAGCCAAACAGACTAACAGGGCTAAGTGCTCCTAAAACTACAGGTACTCTGGCTATAACTCCCATAATCTTCAAGGGTGAATTTGAGGTTCTAGGAGCTGTAGGTCCCCCAAACTTTTTCAAAACTCTAATTTATGTCTGCTAAATACACCCGATACTCCATTTAATGTCCTGCTGCTCCCATAACCCTGATGGCTCTTTACCTCTTCCTGATGTTTGCCCAGGACTCAAACCTCTACAGTATATCATATGGGTGTGACAAAATGGGGCCTATGAGCTACATGCAGTCTTGGGCATTTTTGTGCTTCCCAGGGTACCTCGGATTCCCCCAAGTTCAGAATATCCCCTCTTTTNAATAGTAATAGTAATAGTAATAATAATAGGCATGTAGGACGTGTAATTTTCTGCCTTTGAACCTTTTCAATAGAAAATCTGGGCGCTTCCTGTCTTTTTTTTTCAACTGACTTTTTCTGACCCACAGTGGAGGTGGAGATTTTGAATTCAGCCCTGAATTTCTCAAACCTTGGTCCCTGATGTCTTAGAGGCAGAACAGAATGCTTTGTTGGCAATCCATTGCCATATTTTCTTTCTCTCTCCCCCCCAACTCAATGAAATGCATCATGGGGTGGTTAGTATTATTAGACCAGTGGCCAAGCTGGTGCCATTTAACCAGTTTCCTCAACCACATAATTTTCCTTATTAAAACAGCCCCTTTGCCAAACTACTGTTTGTTCCATTCCATGGGATCTCAAGATCTTATATTGTAAGGCAGTGGTCCCCAACCTTGGGCCTCCAGATGTTCTTGGACTACAACTCCCAGAAGCCTTCACCACCACCTCTGCTGGCCAGGATTTCTGGGAGTTGAAGTCCAAAAACATCTGGAGGCCCAAGGTTGGGGACCACTGTTGTAAGGTATCTCAAATCCCTGCTGTACATCTCCATCCACTGGAAGAAGGAAGAGTCCCACGGCAGCCACAGTAGGGATTGTGTGGTATTGTAGATGTTGTAGGATAAGAGTTGTACTCCAAGAACATTGGGAGAATCATAGTTGCCCACTTTAGCATGAACCTTTCTTTCAATTGCTATGAGTCATTGTAAATTACAGTTTTAAAAAGTCTGTGAGCATAATGCAAAAAAGTAAAGAGCCAAGACCAAAACCGTCTATACTTCTAATCTACTTAGGAAAGAAGTACACATTCCAAATGAGTATTTTCCCTTAATTCAAACTGTGTTTTGTTCAACATATCATTTTATAGCCTAGTTCACTCAATGAGCCTTCGTATCCTGGGGAATGTCATTTGATACTAAGCATGCAGTTTCTTGGCAGAAATAACATGGGAAGTGAAAGCTTAGAAGGATGAAAGGCAGATGTAGGAGCTTCAGCATTTTGAAGAAGTGAGGTAACTTGGACCTTACCTTTCACCTTCTCTCATTGTGTTACATCTACCCAGCTGCTAGAGAGAATTTGGAGGCATACTGTTTCACTTCCTTAATCCCCCCCTCCCTGTGTCCCACAGTCCTTTGCCAGCAACATCAACGTGCAGGCAGAAAGCATGGAAGGAGCAGAAGCAAGGCAAAGCGTTGAGCCAAGAACACACCCACACATCAAAGAGGGAGGGATGTGACATCAGCAGGTGGTGACAAGGTTTGCCAAGAAGAGTCAGCTCTGTGTTGCATCTTTACAAGTGTATATCCATGAAAGAAAGCGGTTGGGTTCATTTTCTAAGGTGGAAATACACACATACACAAACACACCCACTCACCAATGATGCATTTGTGCACCCGAAAAGCAGAATTTGGATAGCTGGCCATGTTACATCCCAGGGTTGGTTCTAATTAAGGGCTTGATTACACTGTGATTTGCCTTACTGTTTGTGTTGGATATATTATGGTTAAATTCAAAGTATTTTCCATCTACTACAAGACTTACAGCTAATTTGCATGGAAGTCTGTTCGTTTTTCATAGACATTCACAGCATTTTATTCAGTTAGCAGCAGCTAGTATATACACACACGTATATATTTCTGTAGTAATTCCGCTCACATTGCCTTTTGCCGGGTGTGATTGCCTATATTGGTCCAAAAGGTCCGTGGGGCATGTGTCCCAGGTGATGTTGTAATTGATGTCTCTGGGGTGGGATGGTAGCACACTGGGCCACACCCATCCACTGAGCAACCCTGGTCCTCAGAAGATATTTTTATTTTAAAAAATCATTCTGTGTCATTAAGTGCTATACCACATAGCACTGCAGGACTGTACTGCCTTGCTCAATTTCCTAGTACACATGCTATTCCTGCTACTGCCACTGCCACTAACTTCAATGCATGCTGTTTATAAGTCTCAGGGAAATGGGCTGTGGAGAAATGATTGTGAAGGACTCCCCACATCCTTGGCTGTGCTTTACCTTGGCCACAGAGCTTTCAGAGGATAAGTAGTGAAGAAACTACTATTCATTTATTTAAAATCTTTTTACCCCGCTTTTCTCCTTAAAAGGACCCAAGGCGGCTAGTGTACAGAAGAAAGGAGTGAGGGAGGGTTCAAATCAATCTTGGTGGTCAGTGAATGGTGGTGGGACTGACTGGCTATCTGTCTCTTGTCTTCTCTCCCTTCTCACAAGCTAATACAGTCTTGAATGTGCCAGAAGCAACCTGGGAGTGAAACGAGTTGCAGCAGCAAGGAGGAGGAAGGGGAGGAGAGAAGCTGAGGAGAAATGAACACTTGTAGTCAGCATCATCCAATTTCTGACAAGGGGTCATTTTCAGGGCTATATCAGATTTTTTTTTTTAAAGGAAGCCATAAAAATAACAGACCAAAGACAGGTGAAAGGGAGAGATAAGGAAGGGGAAGAGGCAGCGAAGAGGTTGGGAGGCTGTGATCCAGGTGAAAATTTTAGCAACCTCAGGTTAGTAGAATCTTGTAAGGCATTTTCCTGGATTAATTAAAAATTGCTGTATGATCAGCATCTGCAACATCAGCACTGAAAACCGCCAGTGGTTTCTGAGTCAATGTGGGACAACCTCCCTGTGCAGTTGAACCCTAAGCCAGAAGATTGTTAGAAAAGGATTTTTGGGGCTTGTTAGTGGTATGTGATTACAATACAACTGTCAGGTTTAAGCGCCCTCATTTTGAACAGAACTGAAATGATTTCATATGTGCAATGTTCATCTGAAACAATTTAGTCTACCTTCTCCACGTTTTGCAGCCAAACCAGAAGTAGAGTCATACAACCTGAGTGAAGTCTTCAATATGCTTCAACTCTAATGGTGGGTTCAAGTTGTGTAGCATCTTATCTCCCAGCTATAGCCATAACAGGGAACAGAGAAACATACAGGTAAATAAAGAGGCCTTTTAAAGCAACAGGCCAGATAAGGACAAACGGCAGTTCCTGCCACTCATAACAGCTTGCAGAGAAATTGTGCTTGGTATTCTGAGCATCAAGAAAACTCCCTTGCTGTTTTCCCCTTGAAATATTTCTTTCTATATGAGCTGACTCTAATAGATATTCACCTTTTAAGTACTAGGCCACAGAAATCACTCATATGTAAAACTCAGACCTGGCAATCTAATGTGAGGCTATTCAGACACAAGTCAAAATAAAATGCTTAGGTGTGACAGGCAGAGAAGAACCAGATGGGAATGGTAAACCTGGTCCACTCCAGATGTCTTGAATTGTAACTACACCTAGATTTGGGCCAAGAGATTGGAAAGCCCCTCCTGTATGTGCCTGCCTTGAATTTGAGACACTCAGCAGAAATCCATGTTTCCTGTAGGCTGATAAATCTATAGGAAATAGCTTGTTTTGTAGCAGCACCTCAGCTGTGGGATTTGCTTCCAAGGGAAGTGAGCCTGGCTTCATCCTGGTGAGCATCTATTAGTCAACCCCTGACTATTTTCCTGGGCCTTTGGCTTTCAAATCATTTTTTAAAGTCTGTGTTCAGAGAATGTTTCTCTGTTCCATTCTTACAGTGTAATTTCAGTGTGCTTGTGTGTTGTTACGCAACTCCTGGCAATTGCCCATACTGAAGGGCTCCAGGCTGTCGTAACTAGATGCTATCAAAAGAAAAAGAGAAATAAATAGAACACTGAGCAAACCTTACCCAGAAACAGGGCCGGCCTAGGGCATTTTGCTGTCTGAGGCAAATGACAACATGACGCTCCTTTCCCCATTCCACGTATGGAAGCTGGCTGGAAGAGTGACAATAACATAATATTCCTCATGACACTTCAGAGGAGCAGTCTCGTTTAGGGGAAGAGGACATGCACATAGCTCTCAGAGTTCTCTTTTCTAATGAAGGGCAGAACCTGAATACAGTACATGTTAACGCTAATATTAAAAATGTTACTTTTATGTCGAACAGGAGACAGGCAAATGGAGTAATCAAATGTTTTAAAAAATAACACGTTCAAAGCAATGTTAAAACAATAGGTTTAAAAGGTTATTTTTAAAAAGATTAGATGCATCAGTTTGTTTGTCCTCCTGTTTAACACAAAAGTAAATATTGCATTATTGGTGCTTTAAACTGAATGCATTGTGTCCCAACATTGTCAGAGGGAAATGACCAGGAGGATCAAGAACACCAAGAATTGCTGTCACTCCTGTCCATAATGGCTGCCTGAGGTACTGTAGTTGCCTCACTTTGCTTAACAGTAGAGCTGGCCCTGCATCAATAACAGAGTTTCTCCCATCAACCCATTTCACGACCCAGCATAGCTATATTGTACATTGCATTTATATGCCGCCCATCTAGACATGGTCTACTCTAGACAAAGTCTACTCGGGGCGGCTTACATGAGTAATAAAATACAATAATATAACATACATAATAATAAAAACCTATTAACTAATACGTATATACATTATCAAGATGGGGTAGTTAAGAAACAAAAACCAGTTAATTGACTGGAGCGGAAGGCCTGCCTAAAGAGCCAAGTTTTTAAATGGCTTTTAAAAACTCCCAGCGAGGGAGCCAGACGGATTTCCGTTGGGAGGATACTCCATAACCGAGGGGCCACTGCGAGAAGGCCCAGTTTCTTGTTCTTTCCTTCCGGGCCTCTCTCGGCATAAGACCCCTCAGCCGTCCCTGCTGGCTTTGTCGAGTGATTCAGGTAGACCTGGTTGGGAGAAGGCGATTTATTTGGTCTCCATCAAGTAATTCAAATGAGTCAGCAGCCCAGTGTTTGTGCAATGTTTAGTTTTGCCCTCACCTCAACGTCAGCATATAACATGCTCTCCCAAAGGGGAGGACGGCAAAGAAATGAAACAGCCTCAGGAAGGCGGGAGAACAGAAAGCGACAAACAGCAATGAACAAACCAGCCCCTTCCCAAAAGCCCTACCTTTATATTTGGGTATATTTAACACATGCGGTTATTGGCATGTCCTATAGATCACTTAACAAATTGCTTTGCAACCCTTCCAGGGCGTGGTATAAATGACTGATTTAAAACCTCTGCATTGTTCAAGCTGCATTGTTCTTCATCAAGTTGAGTCATTTTTATGTGAAGTGTCAAGCTCTTCTAACAAATAACTGCTGCCAGACAAATCAAGTTCCTCATCTTAAAGCTATGGCTAAATAGTTTATAGCTTTAATCTGCTCACTGAGGTGTGCAGTCTATGACAGTAATTATAAATGCAAGGAGAAATTATAGCTGAATGCTTTAACTGCATTAGGAGGCATTTGATGAACATCCATGATTGCCTGCTCATTTCCAACAATAGAGGGCACGTTAGTGTCAATGCATTAGAGGATTTTCAGTTTTGTTCGGCTCTTTCTTCCATTTACCACTGAATTGTCAGTTGTCTCCTATAAAGTGTGTGTTGGGGGGAAGAAAAGCACCACAGAATCTTTAAACTTGATGGGTTTAAAAGAGAGAGAGAAAAGACAAAAGGAGAAATGGGGGGGACATCCCTGTTTATCATTATGCATTCCCCCCCCTTACAATACTATACTTATTTTCAAGTTGATTCTTTTCAGCAAGCTGTCTGTTTACTTATCAAAGACTTTAGGAAAGGCACTCTACTTCAAATAGCATAAAATTTGGGCCGGGATTAAGCTTTAAACTCATTTCTAAATGTCGGAGTATAGTTTGAGAACGTCTAGAAAGAGTGCATTAGAACATCCACAGCACGCTTTTCTCATCACCAAGTAATAACAAGCAGAAGCTCACTAAAATTCTTCTGATCAGTACCTTTCCCAGTTTCAACCTATAGTATAATTAAGGACTCCTCCAGATGTAACATTTGTCCCAAGCCATGTTTTGCCACTTGCTTCTGGATAAGCATTCCCTTGAATGGAATTTGGATTGAAACATACATCTCTTCCCTTTAAGAAACATCTAAGAAAAATTAAAGAAATTCACAACCCTGCCAAAATTGCTTTATTTTATTCCATCTTATTTCTCTATTGAACATTAACTGAAAGTTTATGACTGGGAATCTCTACTGTGGACATGGAACTTCAAGTGGAAAAGGCCATAGTGCTAAACTCTGTTCCGAAAGAGAGACTCAAAATAAACCTGGCTCACAGAGCGACTAAAAAGACATAGGCAATCGCCGAAATAGCACTAAACTAAGAGAAATGAGCTTTACATCACTTGGATGGCTGGAAAGATGCTGACAACTTTAACGCAAACCCAAAAGCTCTAATTTGAACAAATGCTCAGTCTGTACAACCATGATATTCTGTGATACAATGCATTTAAACCTCCACAAGATTTCAAGGAAAAGATCCTTCTTACTTACAAATCATCAGCTTTCACCCTATATTAAAAACTTGCTATAAGGCAAATAAATATAACGACATGCTGAAGCCATGCATAACTGAAGAGTGACTGGATAATGCTCTGGGACTCAGAGAAGTATCTCACAGTACCTTCGGACTGCAGTTGCCAGGATCCTTCTGCTAACATGGCCAATAGGCATAATAGCTGGCAGATTCAAGAAACTGCAGTCAAAAACATGCATTTTTCAAATTTTTCATCATCCTAACATTTGCCAGTTAA